CAGGAAATTGTGTCTTTGAAGGCTTGAAAATACCAAAGTTTCCCAGAGGAAGCATGCCCCCAACCTGAGCCTGCAAAAAGAAAGTCTGATAAAAAGCCTATAAAAATATTCCAAAAATAAGCCAAACCCCAAACCTCTGCTTGGAGAGTAGCATATGGATATGTGTATAACTTACCTAATACAGTATGTGACCCCTTGAACTTCACATATATTTACATGAGGTCATTATACATGTAATATCTAAGATGATGATGAGTGGTTATATCATAATTATACCTTTTACATGACAGAGAATAAAAATGTGTCATTCACCAACAAAACAGGACAAGGAGTTTGTAGCCTGTCTATTAATGCTGAATATGGCTACTTTGTTCAACAGAGATGCCATTAACTCATGTTTACTTTTAGCTTGCTCTGGCTAGTATTAAGACACATGTATATACTACAAGATATAAGATAATGTACGTATTATATATGTGTGTGTGTGTGTGTGTTAAATGTTAAGTGTTGATTAATTGGAACGAAAACAGTGTGCAATATGGAGTACTAGTGTTGCTATAAGGTTTGTTGCTGTATGTAAGGCCACAGCAAGTAAATTTTATCTCTGACATCCTCACAGGTATGGCTCTTTTGTATTGTGTTAGACTCTGTCGAAATTTGCTCGATGACTTTCTCCCTTTTACAAAAGCAAATGTTTTGCGGCCATTATTTATATCAAATGAAATAAAAGTAAGTAAACATTTGTGCCATTCCATACACAAGTGGGTTTGGGTACATGTTGGAATCATTACTAGTCAGTGAACCTTTATATCAGCTGATTACCTCTATTAGACATATTTGCTGGACATTTGCAGTTCTTCATTACACGATCACAAGTATGTGAATGTTCCGAATTGTTGGTCTCGAAACAAAAGCGTTTGATAACAGTTCAGTGGGATGTGCAGAAACATTCGGTGTATTAAAGATCTATTAAAGAGGATCCGTTTTCCATATCAATTCATCAAGTCTTCTGGTGTTTAAACTGAATACACTAACTGTTAGCCTGGGTGCCATCCCCTACCGCGAGTCAGCGATTATTCCTCGGCCCGGGAAAGCCACACGCCCCGCCGACCCTGATTTGCACACTGGCTCTAATTATCTCCTGGCTATCCGACCCGGCCAGACGCTAGCGTGAAAGATATTGGGTTTGGGGCAGCCTGGGGTTGGGCGGCGGATACAGTAGCGGACACAAAAAAAAAATCTATCGCTTTATGAACGCTAGCGTCTGGCACCCAGGCTAACTAACTGTCTGCATCTTAACATTATCTAATGGGCATTAGTCTAATGCCCATCCAAGTTTGCCATAGTGTTTGACAGGGTCAGTCTTAATCATGACGATAATGCAGATGATAATGCAAAGTTATATATTAGTATTCGTCGTCCTTTGGTTCTCTTCACTGTCATGTGTAGTCGCGCCATCTGATCTAGCGAAATGTATTCGATGTGCAGTGTATGTTACAGCCCTATTGAATGTCGAAATGTCGAGCTTTATGTAATATGAATAAAAGAGAGTCACAATCAAACGTGTGGTAATTTGTACAAACAAGGAATAGTTTTTTTTGTTTATTTGGCGAGTTACTTATATCAAGGACATAATGTCCTTGCTTATATCTAGCGAATAAAGGGGAATAAAATCGGATATAAAACTGGAAAAAAAGAGCAGCCCGATGGGCAGCAGAAGACCCAATCTGAGGTAATTTCATACATAGATATGATGCTTGACCGCATATTAGTTCTGAATTCACATCTTAAACAATCGTCCTTATATTATTTTTAGACATTTCCATGTGAATAAAGTTTCCATCCGCCATCACAAATGCATGCAGTCGACTGTACGGAAACGCCATCCAGTGACAGTGAACAGTACTGCAGTTACTGGTCTCCATTTCCCACCGTCACAATTGGACTTGCTTCCTCGTAGTGTCTGGTGCCGTAAAATGCTCTTTAAAATTAAGAGCTCGGCTGGGAGACTCTGTCCGAAAGGCGACACATTCATCGCCTATTACTGTTTCATAACATTGTAAACGGATGTACCCGGGAATGCCTTTAAGTTACCGCATGTTGATTTGATCATATGGATGTCACAGGATGACATCCACATCATCATCATCATCGGACGGCTGCGGAGCAGCAGGCGATCACAAGTCCATTCCACGTACGTCGGTCAGCAGCCAGCGCGGCAATCCTGTCAGGCCTAGGGCTCAGGTCACCTTCAGTATCCCCCAGCAGGTTCTGGATGTAAGTCAGATAGTTTGCCCTCTGGCGTCCAGGACGCCTTCTGCCGTGGGGCGGAACGCAGAGGGCATAAGTCCTGAGTGGTTCCTCTACAGGCATCCTGAGGGCATGTCCGATTAAGCGCAGTTGCCGTTGTCTCACTCTGATGATGAGAGGCTGTGTGTTCGTGGTTTTGTATATTTGGTTGTTGCTTACATGGTCTGTGCGCTTAATGTTCAACATGATTCTGAGGCAAGATGTAGCAAAAGAGTTTATCTTGTCCTCTATGTCGCGCGACAGCACCCAGGTCCACATGTGGAAGAATTTTCGTCCGTTTCCAAAAAAAAAGTTTTCGGCCTTACTGCAAATCGTAAAAAGCAGCTGCAAAATGAACAAATATATGCCGCAAACTAAA